ACGGTTGTTCCAGAATCATCACGTTTTGCTCGCCTCACAGCATAGATTAAGAAATCAATCAACTTTACACGGCACAGAAGGTAGTTCGTTCAACACAAAAATGTTTCTATTTGGTAGGGTCTGTAGGCTAATCAATTTCTTCATGTCTAGATAGTATTTGACAGTAGATTGCCCAGACCAAAGGAGATGAATTGTTTTGTGGATTTCACAACGGGAGCTTTCGGCCAACCGAAACCTGATCCGCTAGGCAGTGAGGCGGTGTGTAGGATTTCCCCAGCAAGGCCTGTTTGAAGTGTTAGGTTGCATGGGAGCATTTCACTAGGTTCAAGCAACCCGAAACACCCGCTCCCTACCATACTGAAGCTTTCAGATTCCCTGTGTCCCATATACTCAAAGGATTTCCTTGTGTCATTATTGCGCATTGTTTTGGCAGCACAGCTCGGCTTTCTGTCTATATACGCATCATCTTGTGAGAGCCGTTTTCTCTGTTACCTTTGCCATCTGTGCTCTCCTCTTTCATCTGGGTCGATCCGACGATCCCAGATTTCTACGGACCTTATCTGTCTGTGACCTAAAGTCGAATTTAATCGGGGTAAGTTAGTTGTCGACAGAGCATGTGCGTTTCCAGTGCCACCGGTTCGGTCACTCATGGTACGATGCCTGCAAAGACACTTGTGCTGTAATTTTCCCAACCGCAATCTCTGGTACTGTTTCTTTGCGCTGCTTTTCTATTCGTTGTTTCAGCAATCAGTGACCGTAGCGGTTTCTACCCCCACCCAGTTGTCCGTTATTCGGGAATGTTTACCGAGTTGTAATTGGAGTCATTATCATATTTATCATCTACTCAGCTAACCTATATTCAACCCTTGAGGTACGTTCTGATCAAACCGTCTACCGAACGATGTAGATCTTAATTGAATGAGGCTCTTTATCCGTTCACACATCCGTTCGTCAATCATATCGATGATGTCACCAGTTTGTGTCAAACACTTAGGCTGACTGTTTGTGTCTATGATCAGGAGTGACAGTCGCTTGTTTGGTGTGGTCCCGATTGTATGTGAAACACTCAGTCGAGGGCCCTTTATTTGTCTACCGGTTTCGACGACCGTTTGAGTAGTGTGTGTAAGGGTACTAAACCTAACGAGCCCTTGATGATAGGTTTCGATTATGGTAGTGTTGTTGGTCACTTATGTTGCTGCTACGTGAAACCACATAGAAGACCACCACCCTCTCCGAATATTGTGACTGTTGTTTTGTGAAACCGATCCACTGGTTTCCGGAAACCTTGTTAGTGTGTGCACGTAAAAATAGCGAAGTTGTTATTGATGTTCTTTGTTGCCCACTGTCCGTCGTAATCCAGTTTGAAGGATTTCAGGTTGAATAAACTGATCAGTTTTACCCTGTGTTTTGATGTTGTTGTAAATGCAGTTTTTAGAAGGGTAAAAAGCATGTTCTTTCATCATATCTCCAATTTCCGTTGTATTTTAATTGGCTTCGGTTTTTCGAAATGTTTTAGTTTTGGTAATTATTGCCTACCGATACTAAGGGCGGTGGTTTGTACACCAACTCGTTTGGTTGATGTTTGAATTCCTCATTACTCGTCTGGATACCGTTGGCACTCGTCCAGTGCAGATTGTCACTTTAGTTCAATTTCACTTGACCCGTTTGTGAACTTACAAGAGTCACCTTTTGGCAATTCATGAGTTTATATGAAGAGTAAGTGAAGATTTGTATAATCCGGCTGCGTAAAAAGGATGACTGAAAGAGGGGGTTAATGAGTCATTAAACCTTTTTCCTGGGAACAAAATCAATAGACTTCAAGTTATCATCGCATGCTTGATCTAACTACTTATAGTAGGACGAGGAAGCTCTCTATCGGCCCAAACAGCCTTTGCATGACTGCGGTTATCTTCCTGGAACTTGATTGTACAATTGTATACTCACTAAACAAAAAGGAAAGAAAAACATCTGTGCATTTTAAATTTATGATTTTCGGGTGACAGTAATATTTTAATGTTCGATTAAAAGCAGTGAAAACGAACACCTCAGAGATCTCGTACGCAGTTTTTTTTACCATTTTAAGTGGTAAGCTAAACCCTCAGGGTCAGTCACATGTGGCACTTCAGTTACCAACCTCAGATCCGACCAATAGAAAACTGTCTTACATATATTGACGTAACTTTTTCAACCGCAATGACTTCGTTACTATTAGGTTGCCTTACACAACCGCGATCAATCAACACTTGCACTCGCTGACTCGGAAACGTGACACGCATGTGTTCAAGGTCGAGCCAGGGCACCATTTGCGGCTGGGTTTGTCACATGCCGGAACAGACGTGATCAAGGAATTCTCGGAGCTTGGTCGTGAAATAACCAGGTCAACGTGGTTTACGTGTTTGTACCCAATGACCTACAAAATAGACAGAACGGG